TGCTTGAGGTTCAGATGGTAAAAGACAACTCTTGAACTGTTGAATTAATTTCTAAATTTCCCTGGTTGCGGCACACTTTGCTCCTTTCATGTGCGGATGAAAATGGTGCCCTCTAGAGGACAATTAACCAGTTTATATGCACAACACAAGTTCAGTTTGGGAGTCTCTATGTTCTCCCCAAGCAATGTGGGTTCTCTCCGGGTTCTCCAGCTTCTTCCCACACAGTCCAAAAACATGTTGATGTTTATTGGTGATTCTAAATTGTCTGTAGGTGTGAATGTGAGTGTGCTTGGTTGTCTGTCTCTAAGTGTAGCTCTGTGATAGACTGGTGACCTGTCCAGGGTGTCCCCTGCCTTCACCCTAAGTCAGCTGGGATAGGCTCCAGTCCCCCACGACCCTGGTGAGGATTAAGTGGTGTATAGATAATGGATGGATGGATAGAAGTTCTATTTGAAAACAAAAGCAGATCTAAACAATCAAAATGCAAAACAAAAAGACATCTGATGATAAACTATAACACAGCTTATTTTATCTTTTGTAACAACCTGCAGCTACATAATAAGCATTGCATTTGTAACATGTATGTAGTTTGGAGGCAACAACGAGACTTTTTATCAAACAATACAAAATTAGAGCAGAACTGCAGAATCAATGTCAAGACAGCAGTGGATGGTAAAAAGAGCAAAACTGAATTCATTGGTATTATAAAGTTTACCACTTTTCTTTTTTTTTTACCATTTTTTAGAACGACAGAGATTTATTGATTAAAACAATAAATCTGTATTTTTGGAAGGTTGCAGCCACCTAATGCTCGTCCCCCATCAATAGGTCCAAACTAAAAAAGTTTGCTTTCACACTTACAGCATGCAGCTACAAAAATAGCATCTTACATAATCTTAAAAGAAAATGATAGTCCTTTGAGTTTCCCCGGGGAGGAGGCTGACCTTTCTGCAAGCTTCCTGGGTGGGAGAAAAGACACGCAGAGCAAAGAGCAGCTCCGTCAGGGGAAAGAGTGACGGAGAGGAGACACAATGAAAACACAAGACAGCAGACTGTTTCAGGTGGGAAACACATCGATGCTGCCGTGGCCACGTTCACATTACAGCGCCGATAGTCAGAATCCATGCTTTTTTTCACTAGTGCTTGTATAGTTCCACTCTAGTGTGAACACTGAAGATTTATCATGAGCAGACAGAACCATGTTGAATCATACATCAAAATTTCAGCTCATGTCTTCTTAACCAGTAACTGAGCCATCCTCTGTGTCTCCTGCTTTGTTACCTGTTACTGAAAGGTCATGTCCAGCAGTTTCCAGCTGTCTATCCCAACCCAGTGTGTAAGTAAACACTTTAATTCTTGCTTTGTGGTGACTGTGTTTTTAGTTTATGCATCCAAAATGCTCCACATTTCAAAATGTTCTCCCTTACTGGAGTTCACTTTCACCTTGAAAGACTAGAAATGGTGTGGGAGAGGTCCAGAAAATGTTCTGCTCCAGGAGAAGTTAAATCCTGTGTCCTCATGCTGTCATTAGGTTTTAGAGTCAACATTTATTTAACCTCATTTACATTTAGGTATTGAGGTTACATTAACAATGTAGCAGAGTGAGAAGACAACAAAAAACATCAACTTGGATAAGATTAAAAAAAATTAAGCAATTAAATCAGCTAAAACAAGAACAGCTATGCATAAAATAAGATGAAATTAGAAAGTAAATTGCTCTAAAGGATAAAAAATGGTCAACCTTTAGATTATTCTGCAGGTTATTCCAGGTTGCAGGAGTAAAAATGGATTTTCCAAGCTCAGTAAAAAACACAGGTACCTGCAACCAAATCCAATCATTTGTTTGTTGATTAGAAATATTTGCCTTTACATTTAAAGTCTCTTCTAAACTGGGAGTCTAATCTGAGGAGACAACTTCTCTGTTGAATTTGCGCCTCTTGCAAAAACAGGCAGAAGTCTGAACAAATTCCTAAATTTCTCATCAAAATATACCAGCGGTATAAAACTTTGGACATAATTTAGCTGGACAGAGGTGGAAAGCTCCAGTGAATACAAGTGTTTCTGTATTAAAGTGTTTCTGGATCTCTTCCTTAGAATAAAAGCTTCTTCATAAACATCCAATAAATATAAATCTTCATCTCGCGATGAACATTGGTTGCTGGTGTTGCTCTGTCATGTTTATTTTTTACGGCGCTGTGAGGAGGTGAGACATGAACATCCATGTTTATGTGTCAGATCCAGGACTGCGTATAGAAGTGACCGTTGATTTGATCTGGTTTGGATTTGGGCTGCTTCGGCATGTTGACTCACCTGGGAGTGTTTGGAAACCCAGTGTCGTAGCACATTCAGAACTCTGTTGGTAGCAGCTCTGCGGATGATGAATTCTTTGTCGCAGGCTTTCTCTGAATTACTAAAACCTAGAAGGGGAAAAAACATCCAAGATTAAATCAGGAGACAGATTAAAAATGAGGAACAAAACATAATACGGACAAACACAGCAGCTGTTAAGGTAATTAAGTGCATACATCATTCAGTCCAGACATATTTATGTACTAATAAATGCATGTAGGTGCTGCTGTTGAACATTCTCATAGCAGCTGGGATGAAAGAGTTTTGGTCCAGAAGGCTAAATCTTATATTCAGAGTGGAGGATGTGAGTTGGATGGTTGACTTCACTTCAACTTTCACCACAGTCACCACAGCGCTGTAGCTGATTTGCCCGTCCCTCCATTTAACTGCTGCTTTACAGTAATGTAACTGACAGAAAAACAACAGCTCCCTCCCTCAGCTGTGAGCCCTGTGACCTTCATGTCTTGACGTGCTTACCCTGGGAGCTGCTGTGCCCGGCAGCAGCCGTGGCGATGGCGAACGCTGAAGCTGGCGACATGGTGCAGCGAGCGTTCTCCCCCGATGTGACTGCGAGGAAGCAGAGACATTAAAAATGGCATGAAACCCCGAGCCTGCTCCCCCGGTCATTGTAACGTGTGTGTCTGGTGCATCGCGTACCTCCTGACTGTCGGTAGCGGAGATGCCTCGGCGTGGAAGGGGAGCGGCAGGGAGACATGTCGCCCGGCTCGCTGCTGGCTGGTGATTCAGGAATAAACTTGTCCAGTGATACTGACTCCAGGACGGCTGTCGGGGGACAAAATCACACCTCAAGCATGAGTAATGGTGACTTTATGAGGGACGACATCAGTGATTTGCACATGGAGGGTAGAAAACAAGCAGAATAACTGAGAGCTTGTGAGAAAGCACAAAATGAAAGGATGGAAAGTATTATTGGAAACAGTGGTGGTTCTAGACAAATTGTTCTGAAGGGGCCAAGGTGGGGCCAGTGTTTAATCACATGGGCACATTAAAAAACAACAACTGTGATATTTAAGTACTAAAATCTTTTTTTTACTTTTTGTTAAAATTAAACAAATGGTTTTTTTTGTTTTTTTTAAATACATCAAGTGAAACAATGAGGTTATCAGGGCCAGTGTTGAAATGTGTAACATAAGGAACATTTGAAATCAGTCACATGTAACACAAATGGTTTGGTTTCCTGCCATTCAAAATCCACTATCACTACAGCAGCAGGACAGATTGGGGAAGTAGAATTACATAACATTAAAACACACAAATTACAACAGAGCAGTCTTGCTTAGCTCTCTCTCAGAACACATAAACAAAAGGGGAGTGGTAAGGTGGGAAAAACTCATTGACAGTATAGGGACCCCCCAGCAAAGGTTCCACACAACAACTGAGAGGTGTAACTGTGTAATTACAACAATAAACATATTAACTATAAAATATATAGCGTGTATTATATATTACTAATACAATAACACATATATATTTACTCCACAACCACTACTGCACCATGGATTCCGTTACACATACATCTCATTTAACAAACAACCTTAACTCTCCCTACT